ACATGAAGCGTAGCTTAAATGGTAAAGAATCTGCCTGCGATGCCAGAAACCTAGGCTGGATCCCTGGGTCAGGAAGACCCCCTGACCCTGGAGAAGGACATGGCAAACCACTCCAGTATTCTTGCCCGGAGAATCACACGACAGAGAAGCCTGGTGGGCTACAGTCCATGGGGTCACAAAGAGTCGGACAGAACGAAATGACTAACACACACACAGTCTTCCCATAGCAGAGTTATGACCAGAATAATAAATAGTTCTAACTTCATATACAGAAACTGCCAAGAGTTAGCCTTTATTTCACAAAAAACAAAGCTGAACTTCATCGTTTTCTGTACATTAGGAGAATGACTTGGCAATTTATTATAAAGACCCATTTATGTCAGGAAACCTGTCGAGCAGGAAACCTTCAAGTGGGAACATAGAAGAGAATTCAATGCAAGTCCTCAAAAGTCTAAGTTGTTTGCACCATCATTCTATTTTAACAGGTCTTGCTCTGTTGTAAAGCTAGTTAAGGACTAATGCAAAATATAATTGGCCTTTTGGTCAGAAAATAGCCTATTCACAACTGGACAGTCAATCTTAGCCAGCATAAAAATCTGCAGTCTTACAGGGAGAATACCTTTTAAAGGCCTAAATTTGGTTACAATAAAGAATCTCAGACAGTCTCAACCCTCCCAGAAAGGTTCAAGAGCTACCAGCAAAAGATATTAAGGAACATTACTACAAAATACAGCCATTCTTAGTGCTTCACAACAGTATGGATTAACTACAAATGTTATACCAAATTAGCAGTTTAGATAATACACTTTTATTTTTCACATCTTACAGCCATCTCAAGTGAAGGGTAAAGGAGACTGGGCACATGAGGTATCACATTATTCTTCAAAGTAACAGTCCCATGATTAAAAGATTTATTATTAGCTTTTACAATATGTATAGTTTTACTTAATATAATCCTTTTTGGGTTCACAGTATTTCAGAATATGTTAAGTTAAAGATCAGTGGATTGTATACACTTTGAAATGTATCTAATATGATTTTGTTCGGGGGTGCATTATTTTTTTCAACTATATTTATCCATATAGTGCTTTAGAAGAAGAAATGACAGGCTTCCCTGGTAACTCAGACTTCTCTGAGCTCAGCTGGTAAAGAATCTGCCTGCAATGCAGAAGACTGGTTCAATTCTTGGGTCGGGAAGTTCCCCTGGAAGGCATGGCAACCCACTCCAGTCTTCTTGCCTGGAGAATCCCCCAAGGACAGAGAAGCCTGGCAGGTTAAGTCCATGGGGTCCCAACGAGTTGGACATGACTGAGCGACTAAGCCCAGAAGAAATGACACTTCTGACATACTGAATTAATTACATAGTTGCAGTTGACACTGGAAGGATTTAAAGAGGAATGTGTACATTTAGTTGCAAATACTCACCTGGCATTACATTTGGAGATGGGAGTTGGCTAAGTCAGTTTGATGTTTGGGGGCCTTTGTGGGGGAAAAAAAAGGGGTGGGGCCTTAAACAGGTATCTCTAAGGAAACTCCTAGTTTCACATGGATACACTTCCATAATATTATCAATATGCTTTGAATATTGAAAAGATGCCTCTTAAAGTCTACATTTCAGCTAAACTACTTCTGTTAAGTCGAGGTCCTTCCAGGGCCCTAACATTTTGGAAGCTTTGGGATTGTTAAATTAAACAGACAAGGAGGCCTTTAGACTGAGGTGGCTTTAATGACTCGGTAGTCTATGTAAGCAAACCAACACCAAGTCAGAAGTGCCTCACACTTATGATGAAGGGACTTCCCCAGTGGTCCAGGGGTTAAGACTCTATGCTTGCAGTGCAGGGAGCACAGCGTTGGGTACCTGGTCTGGGAACTGAGATCCCAATGCCAACTGACAAAGAAAAAAGGAAAATCAAAGCTCAGGACAACCAGTCACAAACAGCCAACTAGGCTTCCCCAAGAAAAAGCCTTCAGCTGCAGCCGGTCGAGCGCGCCCCCTCCTTGGTGCCCACCCCTGCTCCCCCACGGCCCCCCAGCCCCAGCCCCGCTGGTGGGGGCCGGCCAGGCCTCAGGCTGCCGCTGGGCTCCAGCCAACCTGAAACACGCAGCCTACGCTTTCAATCTGCCTCCGCGCACCTCTAACGGGGTGAAGAGCTCACCGTCAGACTTGCTCTTCACTGCTGTTTCCTTCCTGAATAATTTCCATTTTAGTGAGAGAGAAGTTAGACATTTCTATCCATCCCCTGCCTCACACCCCACAATTCCCCAAATCCTGATGGTTTCGCCCTTACCTTCTTGACAGTTTTTCCCTTTCCACTTAAATATTTATAAAATGATGTTCTGCTGATTATACGCATGATGTCCTTTTATGTGTACCGGCTTTAAAGCCGGTACGTATTTTTTTAAAAATATGCTAAACAGGCACACATGTATAAATTGGCAAAATCTTTCTTGAAAGACAACTGGCAATGCATAATAAACTCATACACTTTGTAAGGGCTCATATTTACTTTACAAATCTAACCTAAGGTAATAACCTGGTGTGCATGTGTGTGAAAGGATATTCACACTAGAGCTTATAATACAAACAACTGGTAACAAAAGTATGTAACATCAGTGGGAGTTAACGGGTCCCATGCAGTACTTAATGATTTGGGAAGTTATCCTCAATTTTTGAGATTTTCTTCTAATCTTTTTCTACTTAACACAATGAATATGACTTGCTTTCCTAACAATGTAAATAAACCACTGGCCAATATGTTAATTTGGCTACCCTGGTGGCTCAGTGGTAAAGAATCCGCCTGCCAATTCAGAAGAGGAGGGTTCGATCCCTGGGTGAGGAAGATCCCCTGAAGAAGGAAATGGCAACTCACTCCTGTATTCTTGCCTGGGAAATACCATGGACAGAGGAGCTTGGCGAGCTACAGTCTATGGGGTCACAAAAGAGTCGGATACAACCGAGCGACTAAACAACATATTAATTTACTTATTTCTTTGGCACATGTACTCACTACTTAACATAACTGAAAATTTTAGTTTCTTCTGAAAATCATCAATCCATGAAATGATTTAATTACTGAGCTGCAGCTGTTATTGAAGTATGTAAGAGTGGACACGTTCTGCTCCCAGCAGAGCCCCAGTGAGGGACGAGAGTAACTTACTGAAATAACACAATCTAAGGGACAGAAGCATCATCTTCTGGTCACTGTTATTGTTTCCAAAGGCAAATCACACGTACTCTCTTTTTCCAAATAGTTGCTTCTTATTCTGAATTATGAAGAGGCAGAGATATGAGGTACCGCAGCAAACATGTTTAATAAGAATACAAAATTCACACCAGAGGCACATCTGGGGAATGTAAATGAACTATCACAAGTAGTAATTCTGCTGGAAGAACAAAATAAGGCTCTCTCAGAGTACAAATATACAGGAGGGAATGATTAAAAATAGGTTTATGATTTACAGTCACATTACACTGTGTTAAGCATTGAAAACAAGCATATTAATTAAAAAGCCAGCTAAATGGCATTTGAACATATATAACAAATCTTACAGTCCATGAAGTTCTGGTATAACAGTAATTTTAAGTACTTCATTTCAACACAAAAGAAATGAACAGGTGAAGAGATGTATCTCAAGATATTAATTTATGTCTATGACAAAAATCAAGAGAACTTATACTGAAAAAGGGTTACATTACTGATAAAATCACGCAGAAAGGCCATACACAGAACCAACAGTGCTGAGCAACCGAAACAGCACTGGCCCTTCCAGCCCCGCCATCTTGCTGCGACCACACTGATCCACCATCCTTTTCCCCACTCAAAGGCAAACAAGTCCTTCATCTCCCCCTTTCGCAAAACGAATAAGGAAAATCCAAACGGCAAATTCAGAAGTTGATTTCTCCATAAACCTTAAACATGGCTTAATGAATATAAAGAAATTCAACATTTATACACAGTGCTCCTTTCCAAGGAAGGAACAGACACATCAAACATTATCTGAAAGGGGCTTCTTTATGGATTTATGTACATTGGTTGAATGAGAATTACTGTATCTGAGAAGGCACATATCTGTGATTTAAGGCTTAACCGGTATTGTTACATATGGAAGTCAATGAAAGCTGTCTAGGAATTCACTTCTGTCAAAATGGAATTTACCCAAAAACTAGCTTTCTAATAAGCACAGATTTTTTACTCTAGAAACCACTGAGAATTTCTACTCCCAGATCCACCTGTCAAAAAAATTCTCTCAAGCAGGTTTCATTATGAATCAAAAGAAATTGCTAACAGAACTGCTCCATGACTTTGGGTAATGCAAATTCTTAAGTTCAAAAGCCTCAAAGAAATGACAGTGTGATTCCTGTGTCTTGAAGAAAAAGTCTAAACAAAATTACAATGGTAGAGATTCATTTTTAAAAAGGTATCTGCCACAACTCCACAAGCCAATCAGTCATTCATCAGAGCTGCCGCCTCTGTGTGGGTGCTCAGGAACACCATATAATATTACTCTGCAAAATAGTCTCTTTTTCTCTTTAAGACAAGACATGAAAATGACTCTCTTAAAGATGTTTAATATATTCTTATATAAAATATCTGATGTTGATACAAATCATGTAAACCTTCCTTTGGAAAAGTTACAACTGGTCCTCATTTGCAGGACCAAAAACCTTGAATTTTTATCTTGTCAGTGCAAATCTATATTAGGTGTTTTCAAACTACAGAAATAGCCATCAACCCTCACAATACAAAAGGATTTCTCAAAAAGGAAGATTATTGTGTTCAGGTTATAGAAATTATGTTTACATTAAAACCACCCACCTCCCCATCAAATTTAACAGCTCAATTGTTAAAAGTATGAAAAAGGGAAAAATTAAAGCTGTTTGTGCAAGAATCACTACAATGGTTGTCACCCCTTCCCTCTTCCCCCAACTCTGCTTAATTCTTACTAGGTTTGTTCAGAAATATAACAATGTGACTTTCTCTTTGTTTCCACGTGTGATTTTACTGTTCTTCAAGCCAAGACGGGGCGTCAACTCCAGGGGTTTTCAATTTGATATGGAACTGTTTAAGTGTCTGTTCAAGCTGCTTCTGATTCCCAGCAAAGTATGCGGCAATGGCATTGTGAAAAAGGACCAGCTGATTGTGTAATACTTTAACCTGTGAACAGAGGAGAGTTATAAGACCGAGCATTAACACCAATGACAATAAAATATAAGGTGATTTGTTACATGTCTTAATGAAAGAGCACATCTCTCCGGAGGAAAAGTTGTTTTGATGAAATATTTCACAAATACCAACTGTACACTGTTTTACAAAGTCACTGAGCCTTTCATAGTCTTTTAACTTCCCTGAAGGGAACAGATCAGTTTAATAAGATGCTAACCATATTCAAACATTATTGAGCATACCTTAATTTAAGTATCAGTAGGTCCCTCTTTAAGTATGTTCAAAGTCAAAGAAGCAAAATTATATATAAATAAATACTATATGATACATGATCTGTGCCAAGTATGGACATCATTATGGCTACACTTTAAGTGAAAACTGAGTATTTAAAATGCTGGATACTTCTAAATACTGCTGTTCTCTGCACAGATTGAAGAAGTGGTGGCAAGAGCCGCCCCAAAAGGCCATTTACTTAAAGTTCATATGCCTCTCAGTTATTTTCAACTGTGTATTACTTCGAATGATATGAGTAGGTTTTAACCAGGTAACACTATTTCTATGACTCTTCTATTTAAAGATATCAGCAAAATATCACAAAGATATTATGAATGAAGTATTTACTTAAGTCTTATTTATAAGTTCAAACTGTTCAACAATAAAGTATAAAATTTACCCATCCAATGCAATATTTACTAAAACTGCACTTTTAATAATTTTTAATGATGTAAAAACATCTGATATACAATGTTAAGTGAAAAAATAGGATATAACATATATGATAAGATGTCTGTATTCACTATTAACACGCATGCAGTCTCTAGCCATTTCTTTGTCTATGTACCTCTATAAAGGAAAACACTTAATATATTTATATTGGATAGTTTTGATTTGTAAAGCCTTTATTTTTAAGATTAAAATATTGTAAAAATGGCATATGCTCAAAATTATAAAGTCAAGTCTCCACTCTGCATTTATTCTTCTCCTTCCCACCCAAGAGAATCACTGTTAGCATTTTATTGTGTACCTGTGAGAAATTTTTTAGGGTTATATACAATATTTAAAAACATAAATGGACTGTATTATGCACACTTAGGGCTTCTCTTGTGGCTTAGAAGGTAAAGAATCTGCCTGTGATGCAGGAGACCCAGGCTTGATCCCTGAGTGGGGAAGATCCCTGGAGAAGAGAATGGCTACCCACACAAGTATTCTTGCCTGGAAAATCCATGGCCAGAGGAGCCTGGCAGGCTACAGTCCACGAGGTTGCAAAGAGTTGGACACGACTGATTAACACTTTCACTTTCTATACACACTTTCAGTAACAGATTTTTAAAGTATCTTAGAAAACTTTTTATTTCATTCACTTATTCATTCAACAGAGATTAAGTATCTTCTAAATACCAGGTACCATTCTAGGAGATACAGAAAAACATTCCTTCCCTCCCAAGCTTACATTCTTTTTTAAAAAAAATGTATTTATTTTAATTGGAGGCTAATTACTGTCCAATATTGTAGTGGTTTTGCCATACATTGACATGAATCAGCCATGGGTGCACATGTGTTCCCATCCTGAACCCCCCTGCCACTTCCCTCCCATCCCATCCCTGAGGGTCATCCCAGTGCACCAGCCCCGAGCCCCCTGTCTCATGCATCAAACCTGGGCTGGAGCTCTGTTTCACATATGGTAATATACATGTTTCAATGCCATTATCCCAAATGATCCCACCCTCGCCCTCTCCCAGAGTCCAAAAGACTGTTCTAACACATCTGTGTCTCTTTTGCTGTCTCACATATAGGGTCATCGTTACCATCTTTATAAATTCCATATATATGCATTAATATACTGTATTAGTGTTTTTCTTTCTGACTTACTTCACTCTGGCTCCAGTTTCATCCATGTCATTAGATTTGATTCAAATGCATTCTTCCAAGCTTACATTCTTAAGGGACTGGGAAGGTAGGAGGCAGGTAAGAAACAAAATAAGTACTGACCCCAGGGAATGAATAGCTCAAGCCTTGAGAAGAAGATGGGTTAACATTCAGGGCATCTGAAGCTGCCGATTCAACTTAAGCTGTTTAAAAAAATAAAAGGGATTTTTTTCCTTTTCCTCTGACAAAGATAAGAAAGTTTCTGGCAAGGAGATAGTTTAACAGGGCCAGATAGCATGAAATGACGACAACTAAAACATACCTTGAATTCATCTGGTTAGAAATTTAAGGCCTGCAACCTTCCTAAATGAAAGGCTTTGGTACCAGGTATAAGGACAACACAAAACCTTTGACACTGTGTATCAGGCACTGGACTAGGGATACAAGAATACAAGGATAACTGAAGCAGAGCGCAGTGGAAAATGATGATCAATATGATAAACGGGTAGTAAAAGTACATCTTGTTAACGTAAAAAAAAGGCACTTGTGGGGATAGGAGGGTTTTTCAGGGAAGGTTGAACGGGAACATCGGGATGGCAGAACTTGAGCTTCCCTGGCCCGCTGGTTCTGAGGGAAGGGGGTGCTGACAGACCCCCACTCAGGGCGACTGCTCAGCAGACAGTGTGACCGCAGGAAGTGCGGCTCCCAGAAGGCAACGGGGCTTCCCTGGTGGCTGTGCAGGAGGCTCCGCTTCAAGTCATGGGTCAGGAAAATCCCCTGTGGAAGGGACAGGGTACCCACTGTAGTATTCTTGCCTGGAGAATCCCCATGGACAGAGGAACCTGGCAGGCTACAGGCCATGGGGTCGCAGAGTCGGACACGACTGAGCGCCTAAGCACACAGAAGGCAATCAGGAGGTGAGCAAAGTATACCATTATAATAACTTACAACAGTGGCTCCAATCAGCCCTCTCAATCCACACCCTCGGGGAGGCTGCCACAGTGACAATGAGCTCAGCCTATAAAATTCGGAAAACGAGGCCTGAGACACAAGTGCCGGCCATGTGGGATCGCTGCTGCTGCAGTGTGAGGAAGCCCTGCCCAGCCTCCCTTCTGGATGAAAGCCCACAGGGACAGGGGTCCAATGGTTCCAGCTGCTCCCAGAGCTCAGCAGGCCTTCCAGCTGAAAGCCACCAGGCAGCTGTGGGAAATAATAGCGCTCTAGGTCACTAAGTTGTGGGTGTTTTTGTTAGGCAGCAAAAGAGGTGCATCCATGAAAAAGGTTAAGAATGTGCTCTCCTAGTCCATGGGGTCGCTAAGACTTGGACACGACTGAGAGACTTCACTTTCACTTTTGTGCACTGGAGAAGGAAATGGCAACCTACTCCAGTGTTCTTGCCTGGAGAATCCCAGGGACGAGGGAGCCTGGTGGGCTGCCATCTATGGGGTCGCACAGAGTCGGACACGACTGAAGTGACTTAGCAGCAGCAGCAGGAATTATTATAAGGGTTTATAAAACACAGTGAAAAGGAGGAAAATCAGAGGCAGAACGACAGGCCTGCTGCTGCTGCTGCTAAGTCGCTTCAGTCATGCCCGACTCTGTGTGACCCCATAGACGGCAGCCCACCAGGCTCCCCCGTCCCTGGGATTCTCCAGGCAAGAACACTGGAGTGGGTTGCCGTTTCCTTCTCGAATGCGTGAAAGTGAAGTCTCTCAGTCGTGTCCGACTCTTAGCGACCCCGTGGACTGCAGCCTACCAGGCTCCTGCGTCCATGGGATTTTCCAGGCAAGAGTACTGGAGTGGGGTGCCACTGCCTTCTCCGAACGATAGGCCTAGGAGGAGGAAAAGCTAATAAGCAGGGTGGTTGCAATACATGAGAGAAATTAAGAGAGAAAGCAGCTGTGGAACAGACACTCAAACAAGGAAGGCAAACCTGATACGGATAGAACAGGGTAGTTACACAGGTAGCTGGAGAAGTCCCAACCGGGATTACAAACAGAGGGAAACCTAGGGAACTTCGGGAGACCGCTGTAAGTCAATAATCGCTCAAGAAAGCTCTCACAACATCGTGGAACAGAGCGGCTTGCTTAACCATAAAAGCACGAGATATGCCCCAGGTCATTAAGTGAAAGAAAAAATGCTGCCATCCTGCTGCTGCTGTGAATAAGTGCTATGATAATCACAGTTGGACCTCGCAGGGCCAGATGCTCCCCTGCAGGAAACTATGGGGGCTAGGGACGTAAGCCTGAGGTCTACTGAAGAGGGCAGTCTTTCCCCGCCCCCACTTCCCTTTGCTTATAAACATGCAGCTGCTTAATTCCGGGCACAGGCCTCTTGACTGCCTGACCGCATCTCTCACAAGCTTCCTGTATCAATACATCTACTTCTCCTGTATCACTTTGCCTCTCGCTGGATTCCTTCTGCACTGAGACTCAAAGAACCTGGGCCTCAGCAAGTCCAGCCACCAGGTGAGCGATTCTAAAAGAACATGGGTTCAAGTCCCAATCTGAGTCACACGGTTTCCAAACTGCTACTAACCAGCCTCAAGACCTAAGTGCAGTTTTTGAGTAAATGGAATACAGATTCTTTCTTAACTTTCATTTCCAATTTTCTGGCAAGCCTTGCATTAGGTATAGTTGATACTGGGCACAGCCTCCCCAAATTTGTATTTGTTATTCATCTAGATCATCAGTAAAACATCCCTACTACTAGTACCGTTCTTTCACAGAGATTACCAGAAGGAGCTCTGGAATCAGGAAGCATGTGGGCCAGGCCCGGCTGTGCCACTTTCCAGGGGTAGCAGGCACAGGGTCCCTCTAACTTCACTGGCGAAGGTCTCTATCTGTCCATTAGGGCCGCCGTTACCGAGAATCGCATTTGCAGTGCTGCCGGAAGGTTAAATGAAATGACATGCTACCTAGTGCAGTGTCTGACACAGACTAAGTACTCGTTCGATTTCAGTGGAATCTAAATTTACCTATTTGACGGTTTAAACCTCCACACGACATTCACTTTTTTTAGTGAGATAAAATTTCCTTTATTTAGAACCTATTGATTTGGAACTTGTAAGAAGTAAGAATGTGATCCTGTGATTTATAATAAGAAATACATACTGTGTTTTGGTC